AGTATACATTACAAGTCTGCTGTACACAAAAACAACTAATTTTTTAATAAAGTATTTATACTGAAGATTTGTTTGTGAACTTACTGAGTCAGACTCTAACTAATCTGACTGCAAGATGATTTTCATGTTAAGGATAAAAATACTTCTTTTTGTCTTACAGTTTTCATAACTTCTAGGACCTACTAAAATATCAAATGTTTTTAAGGTAAATGTTTACATTTTATCTGTTATTTTCTCTACCATAACATTATCAGTAGTTGAATCTTCAATGTACAGTTAAATGGAATTTTGAAAATCATGAAATAAAATGAACAAACCCCATTTTTTTCCTAACTTGAATACATAATTTGTTGACATATATTCTGTTGATGATATTCAAATTTCAACTGTTTACCTTTTTGCATTCTTTTAATTTTATAGTTTTATTGACTGGCTTGTATATGATGAACAGTATATTCACCCTGAAAAGCAACACATCACAGTGGGAAAATATTAGTCAATTCCTACAGACCAACAGGCTGCACATGTGAATTTCTGCATTTTAAGCCTAGCAAGGTAAGCCTTGTTAAAATTTTCAAGCTATTTGATATAAATTTTTGTTTCAACTTTCAAATATGCATTTCAAAACGAAAATAATATGTAAATCACTAAAATATAAACGTCCAAAAACAACTATGATTTCACTGTCAGACTATATTATACATGGGTAAAAAATCATTAAATGTTATGAGAATTAACTTCACTTACCAAGACAATCAATTCATCTAGTGTAATATCTATTGTTGCCAATTTCAATAAGACCATTGCAAGATTGAAATAGAAAATAAACTCTTTCTATTGGTTATGAACAAGCAAGTCAAATATCATGTGGTTTGGAAAACTACCTTAAAAGAAGGCAGAATATTGACTGAGAATATTCACATGTCACTGCGAAGATTGAGAAATTGTTTCAATATTTGCATTTGAAATTAAAACTTAGATAATGGATTATAAGCTTCGTTATGATGCTAATTATGCTTATGTACATTGATAATAAAGTTGTTTAATTAAATTTTAAA